ATATATGGGAATTAGAAGTGATCGTAAAAAGAGGCTAGTGTTGTAAAAATTCCTTGATCTTCTTCGTTTTAGATTGCGAAGCTCAGCAGAAAATAGGCACATACATCCTATGGGAATTTGTTCACGTACTGCTAAACGTGTAGCCGTTCAAATTCCTCTAAATTTAGGAAAATGTAATATTGAACCTTTTCATTTCATTTTCTCACTCGATATTTCGTCAAAAAGTGTTCAAAGACTTCATATTTTCCCGCTCTCTTCTTCAAGCAGGATGGAACTTCTGTTGGTAATGAAGAGATCTGCTCTCAACGAGTCCTTGTTCGCGAAGACTTCAGAAGACAGAAGTCTTCCGCGGGAAAAAAGTTACGAATCTTTCTTATCCTTTTGATCAAGTCGTATTTTCACGATCGCTGTTAGTAGTAAAATTCAAGTAACGCACATTGTGAGATACACAAATAATGACGTTTGAACGATCCTCCGACTGGAACTTCTTTGTCTCTCCCTCTCCTTCCGTGAGATCGCGAAAACCGTTCATTTGCGTAAGTTCTTGGGTTTCTGTCGGCGATGAGAGGAGGTATCGGTGGTGAAGGCGTTATTATGGAAACTTTCGCTTTGACGCTCACCCTCGGTCCGGTTTCTCCCCGGGTTTCGACGACGAGGACGAAAGAATGAAATTGAATCCTGAGGAGCGCGTCCACAATAAAAACTCGCCGAGGAAAATCCGCCGTAGACGTCGATCGCCGAAATCGATAGATAGGGCGAGATCAGAAGAGGAAAGGAAGAAGGAGGAGGAGGGGAATAATAATAATAATAATAAGAAAAAGAAAAAAAAAAAAAGAAAGAAAAAGGAGTTTAACGAAAACTTTTTCCTACGCCCGTCTCTCGCGGTCTCTCTTCATTTTCTTCCCCCCGAGTTGCTGCGCTCTTTTTCTCTCTTAAATTATTCGTCGCGCGGAAAGTAAGGGTTTTCTGCGGCAGACCGCGGTCCATTCGAGCGGTGGAAAAAAACGCTTTTTAGCGGAGGTCGGCAAGTCTATTCGTGCCAGTGACTCTTAAAATTTAAGTTCGACGGCGAATTCTAGAGCCAGGGGGTATTGTTGCAGCCGGAACAATTCTTCGTTCCTCCACCGTCAGACTTTCAACGTCGACGTTGGAAAAACTTGGAGCCCATTGTCCGAGGGAATCTTTCCCGCGTCGGTTCGTTAATTAATATCCTTCTTTCTTCGATAAATCGTATCGAGGAATCGGCGCTGATCCTCGAAAAGTCGGCGGGGCCTGATGGATTTAATAAAGAGTGCAGTGAACCGTTACCACTTTTCTTTCTCGCTCCAGAGAAGTCCTTGACAGAGCGAACTATAATCGACACGTCGAGTCGACTTGCACAATTACTTAATATTACAGGCTATGAAAGTATCCGGATAATGTGAGATAGCTCGCCGCGATCCGTGATCGCGATGCGTGAAACAAACGACAATCAACGTTTTTATTACGTGTGAATATAAAGTAGAGCTGTATACGCCGTGGAGGTTTATAGACTATCTCTTATTACTCTCTCTTTCCATTACATACGTTATGCTTACGAGGATATCGAGTCTGATCCTTCTCGGATAAAAAAAAAAAAAAAAGAAAATATGGACATTATACAGATCATTTAACAGACCATGCTGTGCGTCCGGTACTTCGTGAAGGCATATCATAATTGAAAATTGCTTATAAAATTCTTGAACGTTTTAAACGAAATGGTTTGAGAATAAGACGGGGAAAATAAAATGAAACTTTCTATAGATTATTTTTTATAGACGTATAGAAAATAAAACTTTCTAATAATATATATATATAAAATGAAACTTTCTATAAACATAATATATATTTAAAAGAAAGTTACTCGTAAAATGAAATTTATATTTCTGTTATTAACATTTCTCAACATTTTATCACAAATTAAATCCTGTTTTGGAATAGGATAATTTACTTATCCTTAATCAAAATATCATAATTCTATGATACGAAAGGGGAGATATATTTAGATGATAGAATATTTTTCAAATCAAAATATCATAATTCTATGATATGAAAGAGGAGATATATTTAGATGATAGAATATTTTTCAGATTTTTCAAAATCCTGGAATAATACAAGAATTAATCTTAAAATATATAAGCAACATAATGGAGCATAAACAAATATATTTGGCTACGAAAAATTAAAAGATTCCTCTTTTAAAATTTCAACGACTTGCTTATTCAAAAGTATACCCATGCACACGCACACGAAGGAGTGGATAAAACCCAGCAAGACTTTCTTCCCCCATACAAACGCACGATTTCTTAAAACATTCGACGAGCTCCTTAGAACGATTCCTCCAACTCCTCATCTCCACTATTTTGTCGCTCAATCCAGCTGGAAGATCATAATGGACCACCTTGCGCGTACGCGGAATTGCAGTCATCGTCATTGTCGCGCTCCTTACGTTGGGGTGACGCGAGATCATAATCAGAACCAATCCTACGTCGTTCCTATGCACCCGTTGCCTGGCTGCGGGAAGAAAAAAAGCTACCCTTCGCTTTCCCGAGCTATTCCGGGAGCGGTAAGGGAAAGTGTCCGTGGCCTGAGGGCTATGGAGCTGAGGAAGACGCCGAGGACACGTTTACAAGAGGGAACATTTGCCACGAGTCTGTTCCTAAATCGTAAGATTTATAGATGTTAATAAATTGATTTCCAAAAGGTTCCTCTTCACGTTATTGATTATGTTGATTGAAATAAATATTACGAATGAATTGAAATGGAAATCGAAAGAAGAAATTACAAGAATTTGATTTAATTCGAGATAGGGAAATTGATTGATATGTGAAAGGTATGTGAATTTTGTGGAATTGTTTTAGATTTGAAAGATTTGTTTTATTATGACAATTGAAATCAAGTATCATTGATTGTTAAAGACACGTGGGTTTTGATAGATTGACAGATCAGTTATGTTAGAAACAGATGTTGAGATCGTAGGTTGTCAATTATTCAAATGAATCGAGGAGAATGTATTACATCCATTAGATAATAATAAGAAATTACATACAGCAAATTACCTTTGTTAAATATATTGTATTTTAAAGAATCTATTAGAGAATCATCTGCTAAATTGTAATATGATTGATGACAAAAAATTAAAATTCTAAAAAAGAATTAATTTCAATTATGATCTTGATAAAAAATTATGACATTCAAAATTACTTGGAAGAAAATACTTTCTCACTCCTATATTATATTTAGTATATAAAATATATTTAACAATTATCATTTTTACGTATAAAATAATCTTAAATAAAAAAATATACTGAAGAATGAACGCTGCATATGAAACACGCTTTATTTAACTCCGATATTATAATATAGCAATCGGTAAACACGGTATGAACGATAATACATGATAATACGCGATATGAATGATAATAGATAGTAGCGTATATAGCCACCTCGTTCAGGGGTCGCGTTAAAAAACAAGATAGAGGGTGCGCTTTCGTAACGAGGAAGGGCGAATTAGCATTTTATTGGTGTCGCGTCTTGCAATAGCTTTGGGCAGAGAAATAAACGAGGGAGGGACGTTAAACTTCATCGTCCATCGGACACGCCTTGTCGCTGCAGGTGTGCTCCGCTAGGTCGTTATTTATTGCACAAACCCTCGTCGCAGCCTCCTACAACGAGGCTATGTGTTTCGTTATTTATACGTTGGACGCGATGCTCATTTTTGCACTCCACACGGTCCACGCTCACGGAATTTCGTCCCCAACCTCTAAAACGCTACCTTTCGAACTTCGCTTCCTCGACAAAGACTCGAAGGTATCGCGTGTGGACCAGGACGACGTGTCTTACACACCGCGTGAAACCCTAGATGGGAATTGTTCGGCTGCCCCGGCGTGTCCTCTCCAAGAAGTCGAAGCTAGTCGAAGATACTTGATCTTGATAGGAGGTAGGTCTCGAGGAACCGGTCGTGACTGTACCTACACGAGACATCATTAATGCCACCGGGAAACGAGCGGCGAAACGAAAATCGTCGGCCGTTGCCGGGAAGAGGGTGGCTGCCGGGTGCCTTCTCTTCTTGAACCGCGCACGATTTCTCCGTCTGGTGGGCAGCAGGCCGGGAAGGAAGAGAAAAAGGAGCAAACCGGTCGCGGAACGAGGCGAAACCTCTAGGACGATAATTAGCGATCGAGGGTCCCGAGGAAGACTCGGGCCATCTCGTTATCCACGCCACGGCGCCCAGCGTGACGTCATCGCGCGTGTGGAGACTGCCGCGAAGAGGGTATAAGGTACGCGTCGCGTGCACACACGTATGCGTTAAACAGGTGTGCATGTACGAGACTCGCGCCAACAGTGGTAGAGAGGGAATATCTATTGGGAGAAGATGAAAGAGAGAAGAGGAGAAGTGGAAATGAGGTAAAAAAAGAAAGAGAGAAGAACAGAATCCGAATACACATCGGGACTCTTAGCGTATACGTAGAGAACGGGAGAATCCTACGCTTGTGTAAAGTATTCATTGGAAGGAAGAGGGGGAAGACGCGCCGAAGTATTCCGAACTCGACCGAAAGGTTTCCCCCACTCGCGTCAACGATTCAGTCGGAGCTTCGCTTTCGTGTTTCCTCGGTTGCCTTCATGTCAGTACGTTCTCGGCCGATGTTAGGGGTAGTTCGTCTCTCGATACGACGACTCGCACGTGTATCGTTTATGCCGCGTCGTGTATCTTGTCGTGCTTATCGAACGGGAGCGTGCGCACGAAGGAAAATATTTGGAGAAATCGTGTGTCCGGTATCTTTGTGAGTCGTTGACGGGAATGACTTGAACATAAGGAAGACGCGCATTGTGTGATCTGCTACCGTGTGCAAGCTTCGATTGCTCATCGTGACACACGTTGCCGTGCATACGTTTACGGAGCTGATTTGAGTGGCGGGCATCGGGTTGTGTATATGGTGTGTACACAGAACTCCAACGGACCGAGGTTAGTCGTCTGGTGGCGGGCAACTAGGCAGAAAAAAGATATAAAATACACGGAAGAAGCGACGAGGTTTCGTGTAGAGAAGAGTGGTGATTTCTGAACTCCGTAATCGCAGTTATTCCGTCTTCGTTTACCTGATAATGGATTAATTTTCGCCGGGGAATTCACCCCGGCTACAGCCTGGTCTGGAGCAGAACACACAGCACCGCGGCAGCACTCAGCGATAAATCAAGGTGAGATCCGGCTTTGTTTTCGAGAAGGGTGTTCCGATAGCCGGCCTACCATTGACCAGCCTCCTCGGCGAACCGTTTCACGTTCTCCTTTTCTTCCGTTTCACTCTATCCGTAGCCGGTATAGGCACGATTATCTCTGTCCGACCACGGGCACGCTGCAAACGAGCATCCACGAGCATGCAGCATATATTTTGCGGCCTCTCGCTTCCGTCTCTCTCTCTCTCTTACCTTCGATAATTCTTCCTTTTCCTCTATGGTCGACTCGCGTTCTCTGGACTCTTCTTCTCTCCTTGTGCATAGGGACGAACGAGAAACACATGCACGCAAACTGCCGAGCCACCCTACATTCTCCTCTTTCCTCGCTCCTTTTCTGCATTCTGAATACCGAACGACACAGACTTTACTACTTCCAATTCCCCTTCTATTTCACCGATACCTTCCCGAAATTTCTCTTCGATCTTCGTTCTTTTTCGCCAGACGACCATGGTCCTCTTTTCTCGTGTCCCTCCGCGAAATCATTCATGCAAAACGCGATCGATGGTTTTAGTATACACTGGGGAATACGGAGCTCTCGGTAAACGGACCGCACAGTTGGCTTCGTTCGCCTTTTTCGAAACACACAAGTCTGTTGTCGCGACGACGCTAACAAACATGGACGATTCTCGTTTATGTACTATTGTTCCGAATGCAAGTGGAATCGATATAGAGTTCGCTACTTTCGCGGAAACGGTTGGAGTGCATCGATTACTCGAATACAAATCGATTGTACTAGTGAAAATATTTTCATAATTAATTTGTTAGTTAAATTATTATGGCATTAATCATATTGCCAATTTGTTAGACGAATTTGTGTTTTTATTTAGAAAAATATTAATTCGATCAAAAAAATTGTATTATTAAAATACGATAAAATCGATATATGTCGATCTTCGATAGATCTCGAAAAGTATAAAAGAAGCAGGAAACGTAGGAAGGTAATATTGTGAAAGGAAACGATTGTCAGTTTGAAAAGAAGTGAAAGTATTTGATATTTCTGTCGAAGACGAAAGAAAATCTTCGTGGAATGTGTTCGATCTTCGCATTGTATGGTCACGTGATTCTGTGATTTTTGTTTCAGTGAGAAATATCGGAAACATTCTGTCTGTCTATTGTTTCGAACAGTCGATGTTCACTCCGAATCGTTGTTTCTTTACTCCATTCGAAACACTTGGCAATCGCTAATGTATACGTGGAAATTTCCGAAATAGCTATATTTTTTCGATGTATCTTCACATATGGAAGCACGGATATAATGAAAATATATTTGTAGCAATTATGTGTACAATAAGCAAACCGACGATATCAGAATGTCTCTTATCTGGAAGATCTTGGTTTCTAAAATCGGAATTGGATACGTGGTGAGTCATTTTTGAATTAATAGATAAGTGATTGCTTGTGATTTACGACCATTATCTTATTTGGCATGTTTTTGCTCGTGGATAAGATTTTTATGCAGCTGTCTATTTTTTTCAACATAGATAGAGATAAAATCGTAATGTAATATATAAATATAATGATATTAATTTTCTAGAGGACTTTTTCAAAATAGGAATGTATACAAATTTCGAAGAACTGTTAACAATGTTATTGATAGGTATATTTACTGTATATAGAAACTGCCATCAGAATCAGTTCTTATAATTAAATTCTAGTTGAAAAAATTCAAATTCGAATAAATTTTATAAATTTACTTACAATTTCAATTAATCTATATTAATTATAATTTATATAATTAATTTATATTTATTATATTTTATGCAAATTATTTTTTCAGCACTAATCAAGAGAAAAATTTACAACAAGATTTAAAAAATTTAATATAGCAGTACTGGAATGGTAATTAAGATGTCAGTAAAATAAAAGAAATACGTAATATAAAAATTAAGCAAACAATATCCAATGTAATAAACATTTCAATAATATATTCAATTTTTTATTTCAATAATTGCACAAGTTGATGCATATGCAAACGTGAGTATACTCATGACCGGTCAACAACGTTTGTGCATGAAAAACGAGTACCTCGCGACCGGTCAACAATGTGTTAACACATCGCGAACCAGACGTTTTATCGCTAGTTGTATTTAGAGACCAGGTATTTTTGTAGTGCTTCGTATATTTGAATTACCTTTTAGATAAATGTACAGGAAATTTATTTAACATTTTCGCAACTATGAATCCATATATGTATATGGATTTCTAATGAAATATTTAATCATTGAATGTAAAAGAAAGATATGAAACTAATTGATATATAATTTCATTATTTTATTATATATGTATATATATATAATATATAATATATTATATATTATATATATTTTATCAGTTATTAAACATTTGATAGGATTAATCTTATAAATCTTATTTAGATAATTATTTTAAATTTGGAGAATAAATTTATAGAAAGAGATATCTTAATATTAACCCTTTAAGTCCAATTTAAATATAATTGAATTTTGTATCTTTAATTCCTTATTTTATATTTCCAAAAATAATTCAATGAATATATATGTATATAGAATATTTTAAAAATAATCATTTTTTCATTTCATTATTTTATTATATATATAATACATATAATATTTATAAAATATATTATATATTATATATATATTAATATATTTATATATTTATATATATATTTATATTAGAAATATAAATTATAAATATATATATTGTATAATAAAACAGTGAAATGAAAAAGTGATTATTTTTAAAATATTTTCTTTTCTAATAGAAAATCTAATTTCTAATAGAATAATTTTTGATTGTTTTTAAAATATTTTACATATATTCATATATATTCATTGAATTATTTTTGGAAATATAAAATAAGGAATTAAAGATACAAAATTCAATTATATCTAAATTGGACTTAAAGTTTAATATTAAGATATCTCTTTCTCTATAAATTTATTCTCCAAATTTAAAATAATCATTCATATCATAAGAAGGATTTATTACAATCCTATTAAATTATAAAATAAATCAAATTCAGAGCTGGATCTTCATTTGTTTTAACGTTCTATTATAAAATATATCCCCAAAATCAGAATTTATTCCATTCTTTCAGATATTTTTTCATTACTTCCAAATTTTTCCTACACATACATATACACACACAAATTTTCATTGGAACCAATATTTTCGAATCGATACAAATACTTTGTTGCTGTACATCTCTCGTGCCTCCAACTCCAATTCGTACGTTTCAATTAAATCTCTCTGACAACACGATGCAAGAAGGGTAACAATCTCGGCAATCAATCGTCAAGCCCGAAAGAATTGCGTTTCTCGCGGTCGAGATGATTACGTGACGCGTGGTCTGCAGTGCTATTTGCATAAACGTAGGTTCGACGCGCATAGACGACATACATGCGTCCTTGATAGAAGTCCTTATTCGAGATGTAGTCTCATCGCGTATGAATAGCAGGTACGCAATTACGAGAGCGCACAGATGTCATCGGCAAACAAAGTTGACGAGACTGGTCGGCCACTGATTACCAGAGAAAAAGAAAGAGAGACAGTATTAACGATGCGAAAACAGCTTCTTTATACGTCGCAAGTATGCTTTGTTATAGTATCTTTACCTCTTTACCATGTGGTGTGTTCTAATATTTTTGTATCTTCAGTGAAACAGGCTGTGTAAACGGATTATCGAGAAAAATGGGGAAAAACATCGTGAAAGCACGAGGCAGCCACAAAAGAAAAATCCTTATTTCCCTCCCACTTGATTTGGCCGTGCTAATTAAGGCTCGATTATCAGCGCCCTAGTATACATATAAATAAGCACTCTTCATCCCCTTTGATGGCAAATGGTCGACTGTCGAACTGTGGAGTATCGAATACACGTGTGTTTTACGAAGTTGAACGTGATTACCTTTAAATAGATGGATTATTAATAGAATCCTCTTTTCTATCTTTTATTTTATATTTTGAATAAACTTTCTTCCGTTTTTTTATTTATAGAATATTTATTCAAAATTTGGTGTAGGAATGTTCGATATCGACAAATTTTCTTTAAAATTCGTATGTCCATATTATACTTTGTGAAAATATTCAAAATTTTTCAAAGGGAAAAAATGCTGTGTGCTATTGATTACTATTCCAAAATCAATTCCATTTTTCGAAAAACTTTTTTCTAACTATATATTTAATTTTACACGTAGAAATCGAACAATTAACCTTTGATAAATTCGATCATCCAAATAGTTTATAACATATATCAATGAACTCTTGAAAAAAGGCAGTACTTAATTACTCAAAGGTGTTAATGCACTGTTCATAGAAATCTCTCAATACCCGCATAGAAACAATTATCGTTCCTTCTACCTTTCTCCATGTGGCGTGTCAGACAGCGTAAAGACACTGGTTGGTCGACTCTCTACACATTGGTTCCCGTATTCGCAAAAGGCTCGTGAATCGTACGCGAGACCAGACCGATGGTCGCGTCGACGCGTGAGAAATGACAGGCGGGAAAGCGTGCAAAGGTAAACTAGACGGCACCGAAGCGGGACAGCAATAATTAGTCATGTTGCTCCAGCCTCACGGTGCCGGTTGCCAACCCAATAAGAAGTCGATCCTCGCTCGTTTCTCGTGATATATCGTCCCCCAGGTGGGTGATGTCCCTTCCCTCCTTCATTGCTTCTTTTGCTTCTGTTTCAGAAATACGGGGACAACGCGATGAATACGTTCCTCGTAACTATCTCGTTCTGCGCGTTAAACGCGGCCATTTCCATTCGTTTCATGCGAAAATATATTGGTTTACTTGTCATAGAGTGTAAAACGGGCGAGTGTAAAACGACACTGTTTTAAGGCTACGTCGAAAATGTAGGAGATGGCTTTTAATTGAATCCATTGATGAATCAGGGAAAATTCTTGAAAGTATGTAGTTTTAATATAAGTTTTTTAGTATTACGTTTAATTGGGAATATTGGAATATCTTGTAAGGAAGTGTAGTATGTCTTTTTAAAAGAGAATTTTTAATTACAATTTTTAACTTTATTGATATATGTTATAATTATAAACTTTAAGTTACTTAAATACGTTAAGAAATCTTGAAGCTTTACAATCTTCAAGTTACATTATTCTTTAAAATAAGATTTTTAACATAAGTAATTTAATTTCTAACATAAGAAATTATTTTCTTGCAGGAAACGGTGAATAATCAATTGAAGACATTTTATAAATTCCACCCCTTTTCACTTATCCTATCATTCTCACTTAAATGCAACACTCTGTACATATAGATAGTATTTTATTTATAGTATATGTAGAGAACTATTCTGTGGGAAGTAATATCAGTCGTGCATTCACTTTGCTCAATTTAATTTACAGGAACTTTTTATTAAAAATCCTTCCCCAATCGGATATTAAAAGTAAAATGTGAAAAGGATCCACAAAGAGAAAAGATAGAAAAGATTTTAAAGTTGATTATTTACATCAAAATATGAAGAAGAAATTTATCCCTACGTATTTCCACATCACATGTGTCTCGTTTCATCTCGGTAGCAAACAGTTACATCCGCAACGGCGAGCCGTTTCCCATTCGAGAAAACGACCTAACGCCACGCAGCCGATAATTAACGCCTGCACACGCCGGTTTCGCCGGGCTACGGCTTGGGCCCCGTGCCTCGTAATCTGAAGCTGGTACGCGTTATCGCGACAGAGAAAAGGAGGAGGACGGTCGGGTATCTGATAGAGAGGCGATATTCGAGTTGCAACGGCGGGAGGAGAGGAGAGCTTGGCTCGCGCAGTTTATCGTTCCGAGCGTTTCCGTTCGAACGACACACGGAGGAATAAATATAATCGGGGTTGGTAGGCGAAGAAAAAATATACGGGCGCGAATATCGGCGTCGCCTGGTGCAAATTTAACGAGAGCGGCTCGGGAACTCTCGAAAACAGGCAGGAAGGAAGCTGCCTCTGCCACGATAGTCGTAAAAAGGCCAGAGAGATAAACGACGAAGGCTTCTTTCCTCCTCCTCCTCTTCCTCCTTCTCCTCCCTCTCCTCCCTCCACGTGTTTTCTCTCTTTTTTCCCTTTCTTTTTTTCGGTGGCGAGATTTGATCGAGCGAAGTCCAAGTCCGACGGTGTTCCGTTTTTAGCCTCGATTATCGACGGTAGGCGTCGAGATGGCTGTTGGAATACGTAATTGCTTCTCTTTTGGATTGTTTTATACATCGGGGCTGGCAAACCTGTCAGAATGACACGGGTTTCGGCTCTTTTTTTCTTTTTTTTTTTTTTTTTTTTTTTTTGTTTGTTTTTGGAATTAATTCAGAAAATTGATTTCGATCCACGTTTGCCGATCTTTCGTAGTATTTTTAAATCCATTTTATTTTTTGTTTTATATCTCCAC